GGGGGCTCCACGTGTGCTCGGGGAGTGCGCGGCCGGCCTGCGGCCATGACTCGAATAGCGTGCACTTCTCGTCTCTAAAACAACCAGTGGTTTCGTTTCCCCGCCAATGACTGAATGGACAGTGAAGTCGGCCGAAGAGTTTCTGAGAAACATCAGACATCTAGAAATAGATGCAGACGAGATGATGGTATCGTTCGACATGGTGTCCACATTCATCTCCGTTCTTATTGGCCTCGCCATCAGCATCATTGACGAACTTCCTCAAGAAAAATATGAGGAAAATGACCAAAAACGACAACACATTACAGAACTCTTGGTATTGTGCTTCAGGACTTTCTTCACCTTCACCGACCAGGTCTACGAACAAAAGAAGGCGACACCGATGGGCTCTCCCCTGTCTGGGTTAATTGCCATGGTGGTCCTGCAGAAGCTCGAACGGCTGGTCTTCCGTTCGTACTGTCCAAAATTCTGGCCCAGGTATGTTGACGACACATTTGTTGTAATCAAAAGGAACGACTTGCAGGACGTTAAGACCTTACTGAACTCTATATTCTCTGACATCCAATTTACGAACCATAGACCAATATTTTGGGCGCAGTATGTAGACGATACCTTCGTCGTCCTCAGGCGTTCGAACTCCTATGTAACTTCCATGCGAATACTGCATTCACCATCTCCTTTTTGTATTTTTTCGTTTTATTCACCTCTCATCTGCATTACTCCATGTTTCCCCTTTCGTCTTATTCCAGAATAATGACAGAGCTGCCAGCCGTAGTGGATGCACTGCCTTACTTTGACAAGGGCTACGACGAGTCGGGTATTCAAGAGGCGGCTGCCCTGCTGGTGGAAGAGGAGATGCGTCGGTACCGCCCGACGAAGAACTACCTGGAACACCTTCCCAGCCTCAGTGGGCCTGTTCAGCTCAAATTTGAGACTGAGGTCATGCGCACAGAATTTGATCGTATGTCTAATCGTTTGCCCATGGAGTTGCTAAGTATGAAACGGTACGACGTACCGCCACCACCCGCCGGGAAGATGGGCGATCTGCGTGCTTGGCAGGAGGCCATTGAAAATGCCCACGTTAGTCGTTATACATTTCCGCAGTTTGAGTTTTTGCATGGATGCGCTTGCCCTTTTTAGAGGGTTAACTTGATTAATTCCCCACGTTGGCAATACTAAAATTGGCTAAAGCAACACTAGTTATTAACGATACATGGGACTCGAATACCTGCCTTGTACGTGTCTCGAACATCGCCATCTCGGTACTTGAATTGTCTGGAACGTGAAGGCCGCACACGAGAAAATAAACGACTTCCGTCTGCATTCTGAACCATATCAGAACTCCATCGTCAAATTAGTCAGCAGAATGAGGCAGTGTTCGAATGTGTACCGTACTAAGGTCAGAAACTCGCCAAGTCAGTTTCGCTCAACGTTGTTGATTTTTCGATCGTGTGCGCTGTGTGTCGAAAAATGCCCCTACTTACTTACCAGGGAAAAAACACGCCCGTTCGATCATAGCAACCGATGACGTTCACAGCTGCCTCGAAAGGTGGTCCTAGCAACGGTAACCTAAGTGTGAATTGATTTACGGGAGGCAAACTGTCGTAGTATCTATCGCACTTTGTCTTTCCTTATCCGCCTTACTCCGACTACAAAGCAAGTTATAGACCGCAGGGGAGGGGGGGTGAGGACAAAGTGGTTACTAAGGCTAATTAACCCGTCTACGCGTGGCACATGCACACGGCCTGCCGCCCTCCGGATTAAAATAAAAGTGACTCGTACCCCGCATGACTGATAATTTCATACAGTCCACAATAAGAAAGACTACTTTCAGTCTGGCCTTCAGTCCCCAGAAAGACTGGGGTTTTCGTCAGTCGGTAGAAAAGGCGTACACAGTGGTCACTTTACAATTCTGTTAGGGCCTTTGCAGCTTTGCCTTCTCGACATTGGTTCGCAATTTTGTCGCGTTAGACGAAAGTGCCAGGGATAATTATGGTAGGAATCAATATGGTCTAATTGCTCTAGTTTGGGAAACATTTAAGCGATTTAACCGAAAAGTTCGAAGGCGACTGGATTGGCTACGCCCTGCCATGGAGCACGGGCTGATGTTCTGTCAGCTGCAAGTTTAACTATTCAGAGGTGAAATTCACAGATCCATCGTAATTGTCGGACGAAATCTCCCATAAATCAGGATAGGGTGGTTAACCCCCCACGTCCTTGAAACTGTTGACGAACATAGCTAGTTTTGAGGCCTGCACTTTTTTAAACCAGATAGACTATGCTATTGTTGCTGTCTACTTGCAACCACAGTCGCTGAAGGTTTCCTTAGACTGTAGTATCAACTGGAGCCCACAACGTAATCTAACACATTGAACGACTGTTTGCCTGTAGAGGTCTTTTCGCTGCAGTAAGCGTGCCTGATATTCCTCGCAGCCCGAGGGTAGCCTTGCAATTCCTTACTCTCGACCCCTAATCTTAGAATTCTGCATTAGCGTCGGCCAGACTTGACGAAGTTTTGATCGATTGGAAATGTTGTCATCCGTTATTGGAGAGGTTTAACAATGTGTTTAGCATCACAGAAGTCACTCTATTTGCTAGTGAATTCTGGTATTGGACGTTATGTGACGAAAGAAGTGACTTAGACAGAAAGAACTTATCGACAAATTCAAGGGGGACTGGCATGGTCAATTCTGGCCTGAGAATCATCAGCCAGCCACACCTAACCCTAGGTTTTGCAACATTTGAGGATCGAACCCGCAACCTGTTGGCTAGAAGTCTAGCGCCTTAACCGTTGAACCACGGGTTTGTTTTCCTGTGGGACATATTAACATTGGTAGTGGGACGCTAACCGATTTCGTTACGAAACACAGTCGTCCCGTTGCGCCTTGGCTCCATCTATAGCCCCAAAAACAGTCGTTTAATGGCTAATACATTATAGGCATACATTATTGAAAAGAGATGCCCGAATAGCCATTTCTGTTTTTTAACCGTCATCAGCCAGCCACATTCAACCGCTAATTTTGCAGCATCTGAAATGTCTTACTTATCGACTCACAGAACGCTTACCTTGAAGATATCGAAAGTATTGCCGCCGACTACGACCCCGCCTCGTCGGTCACAAGACTCAAATATTCAGAGCAATACCTGTCATTCAACGGTCTCTTTGCTATTTCGATCGCCCAATCAAGTTCTTTTGAAGTAGTTTGGGGCTAAACATACGTTTCTGTGTCATCAAGTCTCACCGTCATCCTCACTGCAGCTAAAGGCTATTGCTCATCTCGTAAGATCAGTTGTCACTTTGACGGGTCGTCGTTGGAAAGCTACATGCATTCTGCAACGACATTCCTCACTTCTACCTCGATCACCAATTTATTAACCAAGTTCTCCCTCGTTCAGCATAATGACCCAATAAAGTCTCGCTGGTCTTTGATTTTGTGGGCAGGTTTTTTGTGACGTACATCAGACCCTTTAACCGAAATATGCCCGTTTTCCCCAACTATGGCCTGTTACCTATCTTTTTCCAGGTTCAGTTGGCTCACCAAATCACGCGAATAAACAACCTGGACTTAATGAGTGAGTACGGCTGTAATGCCTGGAAAAACTTCAACGAAGTCCTCGAACGAATGCTGCATCACCATGAAAAGGACTTGATTGAAATGAGGTTGTTACTTCTTATGATCATTCTTCTCCCCTTTCCCTCTCCTCCCTTCTCTTTGAGAGTCGCTTGTACTGCCCGTTCACAATTTGTCTAGTTAAAGTTAAGTAGTGCTGATTATATTTTTAAATTCTAGGCGCAAGGTCCAAGAGATCAATTGGCAGCGGAAAAAGGAACAAACAATGGCTGGAGAAGTGTTGACACAACTGGAAGAAGAGTGGGTCGGACTTGTAGGCAAGAATTACGAAATCGAACAGGCTATAATTGACCTAGAAACGGAGCTCAACCTGCCGCGTGGATCGAGGGAGAACGATGCTTCCTCGTGAATATATCTACCATCCTCACGCATACATGTATATTTTGTACATCGTTTTAACTGTTTTTTTTATAAGAAAGCCTGCCCGCACCTGCATTTGCTTATCTGTTTCATATGCTTTGCACCTGGCAGGGAGATGCGTCCTTGCTGTTGGACAAGGTAAATGGTCAATGTTGCTGTTGCGTCTTCGGGGTTTCGGATAGAACGTCAGTGGTGTTTATGGGAACAGCTTCATTTGAACCAACCAATACAAGTTCGCAGGATTTACCTCTTTTCGTTTCTGCAATTGAAAACGTCTCACTATCAACCCATATCTGCCACAATAGAGGAACTTCTGATCCCTTGGTCTGGCCTGGGACGAGATACTTTCTGGCTACTACTACTTACCCGACTTTCGTGTTCTGTCCCCTGAGTCCCTAGAAGTGAGTTCAGTCGCAGACCCACTGGTTCGCATCCAATTCAAGGAATGTAGATAAGCCTTATTGCTGATAGCGATACAGGGGTTCGCGTCGCGCACACGAGGAAAAGATAGAGTTCATGCGGTGTCCACTTTTCTGTCTAATTTTCTGCAACAGGATGGAGAGGGATTTTCGATGCCTGCTGAAGTTGGCTATCCTGTGATCACCCAAAGGTACAAGGGAGAGAGGTATTCGTTGGGTTATGGTGATTTCGATTTTATTAAAGAGCTCTATCGTCTCCAATGCGTAACTTGGTCCTTAGGAAGGGTGACTACAGTAGGTTGCCAAACTCATGCAATCCTACGATTTTTACAAGTAACTC